AAAAGCCTAAATAAATGTAAACACATTTACACAGGACTAATAAGAGGACAGAAGTTGGCTAAATGAGGCCTCCACCAGCAATGGACTTGAAAAGGGATAATAAGTTATGAAAATGAAAACAATAATATCTACAAAAGTCTTAAAAATCTAATTAACATACTAAATTTAAAATTTTTACATTAACCTATAGAAATAAACACTAATAAAATCATTGGGCTCCTATAGGCATAGAAATTTGAACTGGTCAAAACTCAGTGCTTCTAAATTTCTGCTGTAAAATTCAGTGAAATTTTTTCGTATCAATAAATATCTGGAGGAGACTAATGCAAAAATTCCAGTGTTTATTTACACAGTGCATATCTCAGAAAGTTTGAAAACAAAAATTTTCAACAGAAAGTCAGCAAATTCTCATAGATTTCCTGTTGCTAGCACTTGCAGGAGACAAGAGTCTGGAAGTCCTTAGAGATTGGAATCTTGATAGCAGAACTTCAAATGTTACCATCACTTGCCAAGAAAGTGCCACACTTGCTCTGTGTTTAAAATGGAGAAAGAAGGGTGTTAGGGAAGGGGTGAGGAGGTGGGAAGGAAGGAAGGGAGAATAAGACAAAAAATAGACCTTCAGGAAGTATTTAGGCAGATAAAAACTATCAAGAAACTTACTATAACACATTTCTCTATTTAAAACTACTTCCATTTAAACTCTTGAGTTCTCTCATTTAGATCAAGCCTTATATAAAACTACATGAAAAATTCTAGAGCCTTCTCACTTTATTTCCTATTCTTTCTAGGTCATTTTAGTCTCCACTGAACCATATAGAAGATAGTACCCTAGCTACAGCATGAAAGGTCTAGGAAAACCCTATACTGTGAAATGTGACTTCATGTCAACTATCCAAAATGGGGCAGTATCACAAAGAAACAATTGGTTAGCTTCCCATATAAGGAATGGAACTTGCTTTCCCATGAAATCATGTCTGGATTTGCTCCTTTCTAAACATCCTAAACTGGACTCGCAGTAAACATTTCTCGTTGTTCCTCCAAATTTGCAAGTTCAATATTCTTCTAATGCTTTATATCAAAGCAAAAGGCCAAAAATCTTCATTATATTGAAAGACAAATGACACATGCATATGCTTGTATTTTGAAATTTTTACCACAGAATATTTTTACTTGTTTCTCAAAAAAGCTTCAAATAATAGTAATAAAAAGACACAATATTTTTAATCCTACTACAAATTTTGATTTTTAAGATCTTTAGTTAAAATGAATGATTTGTTAAGATGATGAGCGATAATAAAAAAATCTCCTAAATCAGATATTTCAGTTTATCAGAACTAGCTGAATCTCTCTACTTCAACAAAAAGGTCATTACATAATCAAACCATTTTACAGCCTAAAAGTAATAAATGTGCTCTTTCTCATTTTCTGAAATTAAGAAATAAAGTATTTCATGTGAAAAATTTAATGACTATTTTAAAAAGTATTTCACTTACTTTATATAACTTAAATCTATTATATATTTTTTCATTTCCACTAACTGTAAATGAATAAATTTAGATATCTAACTCCTCAAGAACCAAATTATACCATACCTTCTTCATTACTTTCTTTATTCAGAGAAGATGATGCCTGAAAGATAAAAATAGAGTCTCTGGTATAATAAACATTTAGATGTGGAAACAATATCCAAAAANTTTCTATAAGAAAAGTACAACAGATGGTCTTTAAAACTATTTTTCATGAGTTTATAAACTGAACTATTTATATTAGATCCACATGGATTATGTTTCCCTCATTTCGCAATACATATTATATTAATTTGTTCTATAACTCTCTTAAGATTATTCAGGTTTTCTATCACAGTGCTTCTCATGGTATTTCTAATCTGAAAATCAAAATATGTTACTTCTACTTTTAAATTTGGGAGGTCAAGTTTCACACATGAAAGTTATTATCAATAATTACATCAAACCCCATGTAAGAAGCCACTCTGGGACAAGAATTTTGGCCTTTGAGTTCTGAGCCTATTTTTCTTTGTAAGTATTTCATGTTTATTTTTTAAATAAAAAAAATGGGCAGGGGACCTGAATAGACATTCCTCCAAAGAGGACATACACATGGCCAAGAGACACATGAAAAGATGCTCAACATCGCTAAACATCAGGGAAATGCAAATTACTCCTGTCAGAATGGCTATCATCAATAAATCTCAACAAATAACAAGTACTCGGGAGGATGTGGAGAAAAGGGAGCCCTGGTGCACTACTGGAGGGATTGTAAGTTATTGCACCCACTACAGAAAACAATATGGAGATTCCTCAAAAAATTAAAAATAGAGCTGCCATACGATCCAGCCAGACCACTTCTAGGTACTTATCTGAAGAAAACAAAGACACTAATCTGAAAAGATACAGGCATCCCTACATTCATTGCAGCATTACCAATAATAGCCAAGAAATGGAAGCAAGATAGATGTGCACCAATAAATGAATGTTAAAGATGTGGCACACACACACACACACACACACACACACACACACACACTATTATTCAGCAATAAAAAAAGACGAAATCTTGCCATCTGCGACATCATAGATGGACCTAGAGGGTATTACGCTAAGTGAAATAAGTCAGTCAGAGAAAGACAAATACTATGTGATCTCACTTATATGTGGAATCTGAAAAAAACAAAATGAAACAGACCCACAGACAACAGAACGAGCTGATGGTTGCAAAGGGGAAAGGGTGGAGAATGGGACTGAAATTACAAAATAAAAAAAGTTAAAAAAATCAATACTAAGTGAGAATTATGTAAGATTGGTGGAATATCACAGGAGATTTGTACTCTAAGCATACTAATTCCTTTAGGGCTCCACAACATAGACTTCATTTCATCCTCTTCATTTTCTATATTTTAAAAATCCTTAAATATATATAAAGACTCATTGCAATAGGAAATGTTTAAAAACTACAAAAACAGCTCTATGTGACATGCATTGTTTCACACAGAAATCCTTGACCCACTATCTGAATACCACAACTGCCACTGTTTTTACAGAACACATTTCCTAAATATAGGACAATCATTAATTACACGATGGGTGCTCACACTGTGCAAATGTATGGAAAAGGAAAATGAGACCAACTACATTAAAAAAAAACAACAACTGGGCCTTTGAGCCCTGAGCTATTTTTATTTTTAAATATTTCATGTTTGTCTCAAACTCCACCAAAAAGCAGCAGTAAACATGTGATGATTAGCCTTAGTATTTGCACAGTTATTGCTTTTATGTGGGTTAAACTTTTTTCCCAGGGGCATTAGATGATTCCTGTGTAAAAACTCTAAAAATGCCTTAAATGCTAATAATAGATGCTTTCCAGAGAATCTTACTTTCTGGATATCATTTATTCAATTTGGTGGAGGGGGGGGTGGGGATGGGAGGGATAGGGGAGATTGGGTAACCCTAACCACTGTTTCAGAAAGTATTAAATACTCTAGGTATATGAATTGCATAAAAACATGGAGAATTTGTTTTTCTTTTTTTTTTTTATACTAGGTAGGTATCTACTATATTCATTTGGGGGCTCCATAGCAAAAAAGATAATAATTTAGAAAAGACGTCAAGAAAAATCTCAATGATGAATAGAATTTTAAAAGGCAAGAATTATGCAAGTTGAAAAAAAAACCAACTTATTTTTTTACCTTTATATTTACGAGTTCTCTGAGTAATCAGGCCTACACATGTTAAAAATAACATATAAATTAAAAACCCTAGTATTTAGGGTTTTTATGTTAAATCTCCTCTTTCAGGGTCCCTAAAAGGAATAGATTCTTATATTTCAAAGATCTTACGTGGGCTTTTGGAACAGACAGAGCGACATCCCTCAACATGCTCTCAACTGTAGTAATTGAACTTCAGGTGCAGCAGGCCTGTGATTTCTGGGAATCTACTTACCCTCTCTAAACCTGACTTAATATAAGTAAAATGGAAAGAATATGTCTTCCTCACAGGATGTTGCACCAATTTAATATAACAAA